TTAAGGCAGTGGTTTTCAACCTTCCTAATGCTGTGACCCTTGAATACAGTTCCTCATGTTGTTGTGACCCCCAACCACACAATTATTTTCATTGCTACTTCATAACTGTAATTTTGCTCGTTATGAATCATCATGTAAATATCTGACATGCAGGATATATTTTCATTGTTATAAATTGAACATAATTAAAGAATATTGATTAATCACAAAACAATATGTAATTATATATTGTGAAATATTTATTTCTAATTACAAATAAATGAAATTTTGTCTTGAAGCATGGTCTTCTTAGGTGTGCGTATCTGCATGTGGGTAGACCCACCTGGAGATGGATAAAGGAGCGGCGTCTCAGTTCCTAAGACTATCAGAAATATATGTTTTCCAATGGTCTTAGGTGACCCCTGTGAAAGGGTTGTTCGACCCTCAGAAGGGGTCACGACCCACAGGTTGAGAACCACTGTTAAGGAATGTTATACTATAGCTGAGAGGAGAGAAACTGCTTCTGGGGTGGCCTGGGGAAAAGCTTGTCTGATTAAGATTAGCAGGAGGCTAAGAATTACTGAAAACATTCTGCCAGATGCCCCAGGCCACATATGAATAAGGAAGATATAGTTTGGGGGTGTAGTACATATTATTATTTGTGGATATCATTAAAAAGATGAAGGGTTATATGTTAAGTTGATTGTACCATTGATACTCAATATAATTTCCACCAAACAATCCTTCCCTGGATGGGTCTGTTAAGAAGGAGAAAATACTGATAGGATATGCCTGTGAATAATGGTGAACAGGATTCCTGCAATGCTATACTGCTGGATATGAAATGAGCCCTCTGGGAAGCAGGGACTGTAATCTCATCACCAGCAAGAGCCACGAGTTGGGCACATCCTCTGGACCCAACATCTTGCTGACCCCTTGCTGACCTTCAGATTTTGCACTGAACAGCACTCACCCCATGTGAGACATTTCCTCAAACTTCTGTGAGTTTCTGTGGAACACTGCCGCAATATGCAGAACCCAGAAAGATAAGGGAATATACTCAAAGGAGAAGTGGGGGGAAATGAAGCTGAATAGCCTCATGGACGAGTTGGACATTTGGAGTATCATCGATCCCCAACTCCTTGGGGCTAGTTTGGTGTTAATTCTCGTAAAAGAGATTATTAACACAGCATCTTACACAAATGTGCTCGGTTGCTATCCAAAAGACCAGTGGTTTGAACCCACCAGCAGCTTTGCTGGAGAGAAGACCTGGCGATCTTCTCTCACACAGATCACCCACTGTCATTAAGTTGATTCTGATGAAAAGGATCCCACAGCTTACCGCGCTACACTAACCCTTAAGTAAAAAGCTGGTCTCTATGGCTAAGACTTGAAAATGATCTTACTAAGATCTACAATCTCAAATGTCAATGGTCAGTTAAAAATAAATTCAAGCTTGGTCACTGTCTTGTGTAATTACTTCAAAAGGAGGGGGTAAAAGGAGAACAGAAAGAAGGAGATGCTTGAGCATTTCAGTGGCAATGCCGTATATTTCTGGTTCACATACAAGAAAAGAGGTTTATAATGCTGATAACTAAAATCTAAATTCAAAATGAGGAGTGATATAAAGATTAAACAGAAACTATTATGTGAGTGAAAGGTTATGAAAGATACGGTCGTTCCTGGCCATTCATTCTCCAGAGGTCTTAGTGTAATTAGGTAGGTATTTCTAAGTAGACAACATGAAAGCCCACTTAAAGAGTAAACGAGATAACGTATGGTAAAGCCACAAATGGTTCTTGCTGATGATTATTAAATAAGTCTGAAAAGGTTAGAGTAAATGGCCAGAGTAAAATGATGGATACTTTTTCCAGCCAGAACTGAAGAAGAATTTCAGAGATTTCTGGAGCAGATCTGCAATTCTTTCTGCAACCTATGTCTGAAGCAGTAGGTCTTTTACTTGTGGGATTTAATTAGGAATATCATTAAATTGTCTTTTGAACTTAGGACAATTTGCTATTAGGATAACCTTTAATAACACAACTAGCCAATCTTTATGTACAACTGGCTTCCATACCAATTAAATTTGTTGTAAAGATGATTACTTTAAGACCTCAGACACTATATCTTTTGATAGCTGGGCACCATCAGCTTTCTTCACCACATTTGCTTAGGCACCCATGTCTTCAGTGATCGTATCATGGAGGTGAGCACACAATGATATGATTTTTTGTTCTTTGATGCCTGATAACATCCCTTTGTCAGCTCGTGATCACACAGGTTGGTGTGCTTCTTCTATGTGGGGTTTGTTGCTTCTGAGCTAGATGGCTGCTTGTTTATCTTCAAGCCTTTAAGACCCCAGACG